AGAGAAGGCGGGAGGAAGAGAGAGAAAGGGGAGGGGGAGAGGGAGAGAGAGGTTGACTTGCTGTTCCACTTACTCATGCATTCATTGGTTGATTCTTGTATGTGCCCTGACTGAGTGTCAAACCTGAAACCATATTGGGACAATGCTCTAACCAACAGAGTACCTGGCCAGGGCTGGTTCCTTCCTATTTTAAAAACTAGATTTTTACAAGTGTCACAAATAAGTGATACCAAAAGAAGTGCATATTAACTAAGTATTATCTAAATAGAAAAACATTTTAGGCACTAATATTACTATTAAAAGACAGGTAGGTTTGGTAAATTCTCTATATTGATTTGTTAGAAAACAATAAAAATAGTCCCAAAAATTTTTGTGTATCTCTGTTTAGTCAAATATTTGAAATATTTTGAAATTGCTAATATACAAAGCATAACTCCCTTGATTACAGGTAATTTTCAATTAGATAACATTTTTTCATAGCAAACTTTTTTACTGTAGGTTAATGAAGAGGTTTGTTATTAATATACAATCAAAGAACTTTAACTCTTCTTCAACAGGGAAATTTCATTACTCCTTGAAAGGGCATTTAGTGAGTACTGACTACATACAAATTTATTATAATCACTCTATAATAGCACTCTGTAATCATATTTAACTATCATATGTAAATCATTAAACGAATAGAAAGACACTAAGCTAATTAAGAAATCCACCATAATCATATGCTTTTTCACACTTGTCATCATAGAAGCTAATTAATACTTCTTTTAACAGAATAGTATTCAGGTCATCAGAGGACTTCTCTAACTTATGGAAATTGTTTACAGATTTTTGAGCCCATGTTTAGTGCAAGTGAGAACAATCTCAAAGTCAATTAGCCTACTTAATTAATAGAAAGAAATAAAACATTCTATCATTAAATAAGATTTAAAATTACCCAAGAAAGGCATTCAAGATTAGCAGCATTCCACTTTACTATATAAAACATAACATGAAGACAAAGACTTCAAATCAGAAATTAAATTCCATATACATATTCACCAAATTTCTTTTTAAAGTTTGAAAACCAACCTGCTATAGAAAGTGTTGGTCCCCCTTGATAATGTGATAATCCTGTATCCTGGGTCAAGTCAAACAGTAACTCTGTAGAATTACTAGATGCAACTCGTGATGAGTTTGTTATGTAACCCTGTTAAAATATTTTAAAGGAAGAGTATTACACTTATTCAACAGAGTAATACTTGTTTTGTTTCATAAACTTTTATAAAAGTAAATTTAGCTGCATGCAATATTTTAAGAATAATCTTTGATGACTCAATTACTAATAACTTACAAAACACAAAGGTAATTTTTACTATCTGCCAAAATTATCATCAAATAAACCTGAAAGCAAACTTAGAGCTGGCTTATTTCTGACTAGTTAATTAAAATGGGGGGCAAGTTCTAATATAACTTTTTCAAGGTGAAAGAAACATATAAACCCATTTAAAATGAGTAAGATTACTATCCTTTATAAAGCTACTAAAAATTCAGTATTTCTATCAAAAAGAAAATCATAGAACTTAGCAAAATATTTGGCTAAATGTAAGAAAAATAAATACAAATTTTAAAACTTCTATACCTCTATAAACCCCACAGACAAAATATCAGGGCAAACAAACAGGGAATCAATCTGCTATATTATGCATCAGGGTTAGGTATGATTATATCACATGGTACAAGTTTTAGAATCATCTTTATTGGAAAAATGTATAAGCCAAGGGTCAGGAAGAGAAAGAATAGGTCCCCCACTCTCCCTACCATCCCACAGAAAGCCATGCTGGGCCAGAGAATCTCCCATCTCATAGGGCAGATAGGAAAGCTGCCTGATAGGTAAGGTGAACAAATAAGAAAGTCAGGTAGACAGAGTTTATCTAAGAAGCTGTTTATAGGAATGATCTCAGCCAGCTGAAGGCCTTAGGGCTCAAGGGAAGTTTCAGCCCTTCATCAGGATGGTCCCAGCTAGCAGAACGACCTCAAGAAGAGTAAAAAGTATGAGATGAATCATGTGGTCAAGTATAGGCAGTATAAATTTACATTAAAACACATATGTTTAGTATAAATAATTATGAAAAATGTGATCTATATAATTTAGGGATATATACTTCAATACTATTATATATTAAATACACTGATACACACAAAATATATTTTGTGCTATTTATAAAAGATCATCAATGAGGAAAGTAAGCTCTCAGTGACTTCTGGGTCATTCTATACACCATAATATGTAACATGCAAAAGCTTTAAGATTAACAATGCTTAAAAATCAAAAGGGAGAAGTCACTTTAAGAGAAGAATGGGTAAAGGACATCAACTGAGACACTTCAAAAGCAAAATACAAATGACCAATACATAATAAAAAACTTTTTTCCAACTTACTTGTCAAAGAAATGCAAATAAAGGCAATGGCAATTTTAAACTACTGAACTGGCATTGTTTTAAAGTTGATAATATCTAAAACAAAAAGTATCAAGTTCATGAAAGACAGAGTCAGTAACTGCAGAAAAACATGAGGAGACTAAGAAGAAATAACTAACTGCAATAATGACCTGTGATCCTGGGAATGAAAAATGACAATAATGGAAAAACTGGTAAAATTCGAATAAGGTCTGTAGTTAGTTCATGTTAGCTACCTGATTATGATAAGTGAGATGTCAGCATTAGGGTAAACTGGGTTAGGGGTATAGAGAACTTTTATTTTTTAATGGAACTCTTTGTATTATTTGCCCTGTAAGTCCAATATTCATTTGAAATCAACTTAACATTTAAAAATTTAAAAGTAATGATAACATTCATTATTGGCAAAGTAAAGGTTATGTTGTGGTACAACTTTCCTGTGTGAAAATTCTGGCAGTAGCTACCAAAGGCTTTGTATAAATAAATTCAGAACCTTTGGTACAACTATCCCACTTTAAAAATTTATGGTAAGAAAATAAAAATGTTTAATGGAGAATTTTTAATAGCAAAAATATTAAAATCTACATGTCCAACAATGGAAGAAGAGAAAGAGATGGGCCTTCCTTACCACAGCCTCTACAAATTGCAGATGTTACTAAATAAATGGCGGCTGCTGTTTAAAAAATAAGTTATGAAAATAGGTATTGAAGTAACCCAAACCTTTCCTAGTGCCTTGAGGCCTAACAGAATATACGTGCATTTGAGCCTTAACATACAGTATTAAAAAAAAAAAAATCAATAATGCCATAGTCATATGACTTAAGTGTAACCAAGCACAATCCCACTTCAAGATAAATATTTTCTCCAAATATTTGTTCTTCAAAAAAATGGAAAATATTCATTTGCATTTTCCAAAATAGTACTTTAACAGAAATATAAAGTTAATACTAATAACACTTTCCTAGATAACAACTCTGGTTAATTACCACAGTTTCAGAGACCAGGTACATGTTATTCAACATTAACTGATTAAAATAATTCTGCAACAGGGAATTTTAATGTCTTATAAAACAGTTTGGAAAAATATTAAACACAATAGTAAGGTACTAGACTGGAATTCAGAAGACATGCACACTTATTTAACTATGTACCTTGGGCAAGTCACTTTTGAGCTTCACGTTATTCACCTTTCAAACTTAAATGTACTTACACTTTAAATATACTTGTACTACATAGTACACGTTTCAAATGTACTTGCACTTCATAGTACATGTATGAATTAAATCATGCAGCTGTCACAACAGCACTAATAAAGACCAAATATTATACCCCATTCTATAAATTTATAGACTGGGTATAGTTATGTAAGATTCCCAATACAGCCCCAACTTCTTATTGGTGGAGCTGTAATTAGAACCAGGTCTGATCACAAAGCCTATGGCCTTAGGCTATATCACACTACACCACACTGACTTTATAAGTAATAAGAGATCCCTGCTACCTAAAAGAGATGTTGAAGTATAGAGATATTCCATGTATTAATTTTATTTTAAATAAAAATAATAAACCCACTGTAGATTAACATGAGTAATTTTTATGAAAAATGGCTATCCTGCAACACAAAAAATTAAAGAGTGGCATTGTTTTACATTCTGCAAATCTCTTTAATGTCTAGCTTAATCAAAAACTGCTATAGTCTCATATCTGCTCCTGCTTTTAACTTGTTAGGAAATGTTGTTTGGTTGACAAATATAAAGAAAATATGGCCTTATAAATACTTATAGTTAAAAAGGGAAGTATTTTAATAGCAATTTAGGATAACTGTAAATGTACTTCTTTGATACTAAACCAAAACTTAACAGCTGGTATTTTCTTAAAGGTTTGTTGGAATGTGAAATCTTACTCATCACGCAACTTTTTGTACTTTGTTATATTAAAATCTATTAGTCTTACACTCTGAATGGATTTTTCTTTCGAGCATGGTTTTTTGACATCATGCATTGATTATACGGAAAATACTGGTATCTTTGAATTATGCAGATCTTCCAAAGCTTGACAGAGTTCATTATACAATATCAAAAAATCATAATTATTAATACCACTACCCATCAGAAAAGTCTTTTAGTAATGGAAAGCTGTCAAGATTATGATAGCAGATACAAGTTTTCCAAAATTCTAATTTTTGCTTGAAAGCTCCAATTTTATGCTTCACACAAGAAATACTACCAGCTGTTTTCCTTTACATAACAGCTGTCCTTTTCAATTTTACATAAATGTTTACCAAATAACCAAGATTAAGTAACTCACTGTGTGTGGTGAACAGACTCAAAAATGGCCTCCATGACCCTAACCAAAAGAATACAGCAAAGGTGATAAGATATACATGATTTTATCTATCATATTACATAAGATTTTAATGCCACCCTGCTAAGGATTCTCTTTCTTTTGCAGCCTTTGAGGAAACAAAAAGCCATATTGGGAAGAGCCACCTGAAAAGAAGCCAGCCAAAAGCCAGTAAAATTCTGAGACTCTCAGTATGACCACCTTTAAGGAATCGAATGCTGCCAATACCAGGAGAACTTGGAAACAGATACTTCCCCAGTTGAGCTTCAGATGAGACTGCAACCTCAGAGACCACACCTTAACTGTAGCCTTGTGAGATCTTAAAGCAGAAGATCCAGCTAAGCCATGACCTGACTCCTAAACCATAAAAACTGCGAGATAAGAAATCTGTGTGGTTTGAAACCACAAGTTTGCGATAACACTGATACTACACAGAAACAAATAATACACCATGGTTTGTCAGTCATTCTTTCAAGTACAAATGGTCTTTTGTTTTCAAAAAGTGTGTTTAGCTTATAATTCAATACACAAGTGGTTTTCCTCAACACACATCATACTTCAGACACAGAAGTGCTTTATGCATACTACCCATTTCACTACACAAAATATTTTTAAAAGACATGTATTCAAAAGTAGAGCATTAACAAAATTAATAACATTTCAATAACTCCTCAAGGAAACTGGGTATGACTGTAATAGTTTTTACTGTCAATGCATGGTGGTGACTAATACAAAAACTACCAATGCAGCTTAGTACCACTGTCTTGAGGCACCAGCAGTTTACCCACCATTGCTTTTGCATCATCAGTGCAAATGTCAACATGGTGAAAAAGGCAAAAAGTGTCATTGTAGTATTATGACAATAGTGTTGACTCTCAAACCAAAACTCCGGGGCCTGAAAACTGCACTTTGAAAACCGTCATACTAAGGCAATGCTCCCATTTTTTTAAAGTATACATTTATATACGTTATATATGTATGTATGTATGCAAATACATATGAACTATGGGTTAGTCTGGTATGAAATCCCAAATCTATCATTTGCCAGCTGTGTGGTGCAGTGAATTATTTAACCTCTGTAAGCCTCAGTTTCCTCAAATATAAAACAGGGATAACAAAAGTGCCTACTTCGCAGGGACATTTAAGAATTAAATTAGCCCGGCTGGCATGGTTTGGCAGTTGAGCATTGACTTATGATCAGGTGATCATGGTTCGATTCTCAGTTAGGGCACAAGCCTGGGTTTCGGGCTCAATCCTCAGAAGGGGGAGTGTAGGAGGCAGCCAATCAATGACTCTCATCATTGATGTTTCTCTCTCTCTCTCCCCCTCCTTCCTCTCTCTGAAAGCAATAAAAACATATTTTTTAAGAAATTAAAAAAAAAAAAAAAAAAAGCCCGGCCGGGCGGGGCTCAGCGGTTGAGTGTCAACCTAGGATCCAGGCGCTCGGGGTTCAATTCCTGGTCAGGGCACATGCCCTGGTTGCTGGCTCAAGGCAGCCGATCAATGACTCTCTCATCATTGATGTTTCTAGCTCTCCCTCTCCTTTCCTCTCTCTGGAATCAATAAAGATATACTTTTTTTTAAAAAAAGGAATTAATTTATATATAGCATTTAGCACAAAATGTTACACATATTAATAGTTCAATAAATGTTAACTATTATCATTAACTAGTACTTTTTGTTGAGTTTTTTTATTAACAACTATGAAGGTACATTTCAGAATAAAAAGCTATGATAGCCTCTCAACAATTTTCCCAATAAAGAACTAAGAACACTTGGCGCAGCTTAAAATCTTAAACAGTTTATCATTATGTAATATTCATTACTGGTTATACTTTTACTCATGTTTTGATAGCACAGTTTTTATTACTGTACCTATTTAATTTAAGCATATTACTGACTCAGAAACAGGTTGAGTAGTTAATTCCTACAGCTGTTACTTTGGGTACTGGTTGAGCTATTATAAAGATGGTAACATTTTCTGATACTGGTTATGCTTCTATTGAATGACTACCAGAATTTTAACTGGGTATTGCTGACAATGATAAATAATATCCAATCTATGCCTGAGCTGACTGTGTAGTTTCAGAAACACTTACAGGTTTAGACAAAGGCTGAACAATAACAGAACTATCTGAAGATCTAGATTCAGGATGAAAATTTACTGGCGAGGCAGCCACTGGATTTGATGTTGGGTTCGTGTAGTGTTGACTTGTAGGCTTGAATGCAGCAGTAATACCTGTATTTCAAAATTACACAATATATTGAATATATTTCTATATAATCAACGATATCAAAATACTTCACTTTAAAATTAAAATAGTAAAATAATACTGTACCTCGACTGAGTGCGCCATTCTTTATTCCCCTTGAATATGAGCTGGGGTTTACTCTATTCAAAATATCTATAAAAAATTATATTTATTTTAAAATTTATTGTTTGAATGAAATAAAGATTAAGGTAATAGAAATCATAAATGGAAAACAAATAGATTCCTGGAAGGAGTTTATAAGTTATCACTGATTTAAAAATACAGTTAATTTAAACATATATATATTTTTTATCTATTAAAGGAACAAGATTACAAGCTTTGTTTCACAGAATTAAAACAACCTTCCTAACTATAACTCAAAATCCAAATGCCAGCAGTAAAAGACTGGTAACTCAGACTACATATAAGTCAAACCATTTACATGGCAAAGAAACAGTCCACGTAATTAGTAAAACTTTCCCAAAAGTACATGCATATACTAACTATAATTGAAGTACATGTCTTTCTTTGAGTGATGATAGGGCTGTATATACACTCAGGTTCCTATTACTCAAAATCAAACCCTTGTCCAACCTCCATATCCCACTCACATCCCTAAAAGCCTTGAAGTGTCCTTATAAGGTATCTCATTCAATTATCTGCACTGTACTCTTGAGTTCTAAAAGGTAAACTATCAAAGGCTGCAGACTAAAATGAACCTACCATTTACCAGAGTATCTTATCACTTAAGGAGTTTCAAATCTACCACTATACCAGGAGTCAATGTGAGCCTAATACGATTTTCAGGATCAGTTTAACATTCCTAATTCTTACATGCATGTGAACTCTGTAACTCCTAGATTACTCAATAATCAAACTAAAACTTGGAAGAGTGGGGTATACCTAAAATTGTTGGTTAGAAAAAGGTAAAAGCACAAACACACCAAACATCATTAAAATGTCCTCTTCACAAAAGAACCAGATCTTCCATAAAATAATTCTATAAAGTGAAGGGCCACACAAAAGTAGGGTTATTATCTGATAATAAAAATGTAGTGTTCTGTATCTAAGCACTACAGATGACTTATTAAAAAAATAATACTCCCCTAGCCAGTGTGGCTCAGCAGTTAAGAGTGTCAGCCCTCACGCAGAAGGGCTGTGGGTTCGATTCCTAGTCAAGGACACATACCTGGGTTGCAGGTTAGATCTGCTGGCCCCAGTCGGGGCTCGTGTGGGAGGCAACCAATCTATGTGTCTCTCTCACATTGATGTTTCTCTCTCCCCAACCCCCTTACACTCTCTCTAAAAAGTAATGGAAAAAATATCCTTGGGTGAGAATTAAAAAAACACACAACTCTGCTCCAACTTAACACCATTTTCATTCAGTAATTCACAATTAAGTGTTTACATAAACCATCAAAGAACTATTGCTAAAGTACTTTTTAGTGGTTGTACTCTACAAAACCCAGGATTTTACCCTTCTTCCTGGCAATTCTATATAAACATTCAAAACCATTCTCCATGTTAACATACTTTCCGGCCTACACATACCCAACAATACAATCATTTAAATTCTTCATCTTAACAGTTCAGAAAAGAAATTCTACTGGAGTCAATCTCCTATTTCACATAATTATTTTAAAACTAATATACATTGTTCTAGTTGAACACTGTTAAATCATCTACAATCAGTGTAAATTCAACTTGAATCTTAACTGTCATGTTTTCAATAAGAGAATCTCAATAACAATTTTGCAATATGGTAATATTCCAGTATAAAATAATCACAAAGACTAGAAACAATAATTAAAGATAATATACAATTATGTTCTATCATCAACAAAATCATTCAATTTATAATCAAAGTGGCACTCCACTTAGAATCTCCATGACAGATTATCAACCTGCCAGAGGAAATGGTATTGAGAATTCAATTGATTAAGTTATTCTCCCGCTGATAAAAGTGAATAGAAGTACCCTTACAAGTTTAGGGGCAATAGAAGAAAATACCGGGCTTTTTGAAATTTTAAAGTAGTCTCTTAATCACACTTTTAAGCACTGCCTTGGTAAGAAAATCTAAAATTTGTACATTATTTCTCTGCACTTCTATATATTTTTGAGTGGACATTTTAACAGGTGTCATTACTCTTTGCTTTAACATTATAACTATGTTAATTCCAATTACTCTAACTGAAATCTAGTATATACAAAGATATCAAGGTGTTCTGCTAAAAAGCCATAAAGATTTAAGTTTTAACCAACTGCTATATCATCCAAGTATATTAGCTGTAGACAGTGCCTTTCTCTTTCATAGAATATAAATACAGATTGCTGGGAAATGAGTGTGATCAGAAGCATCTGTCAGCATACAGGCCAGAGATTGTGCAATCACTCATCACCTATACATTTTGTAACTATGAATGGATGACACCACAATAAGGCAGTTGCCTGGATTTGAGAACCCCTATCTGAGACTGACACAAATTTATTTAGTACATTCTGACATTTTAAAGTATTCTAAACCCTTTTTTCCCTATACTTCTGAGTTTAAGTGGAAAAAAAAATAAGAGCACACATATAATAAAAAATTTGGCTCCACTGAAAATTATGACTTCTAATAACAAAAGACCTCCAATGTCCCAGCTGATCTTACTCCATTTCTTTTTCTCAGATCTGATATTTTAACACATTACCTCCTTTCTCAAGTACCCAATCACATCTCCACCCTGTTTCTAAAATTCTTCCTTATCTCCCACCCAACCTTTCATCCCCAACTCTTTACAGAGAAACAAGGACATAAGTACCTCTAAGCCAGTTTATAAATTTTTTCCATTAGAAACAGTATCTTATAAAACTTGGCTTCACTAAAAGCAAATGCTTACTTGAAATTGCTGGTTTTGAACTTGATATCTCTCCAACAAAGATCGGCTCATCATCATCATCATCCTCAACTTCTTTTACTTTCTTCTGCCAGGGTTCCAACTCTTCTTCTTCACATTCCATAAAGAGTTCTGCCATTTTTGATTTATCTAGTTTTCAAAAGGAAAGTAAAACTTATTTTCAAAAAGAAAAATAAATACAGTTTTGTAATATACAGTATATTTAAGATCTACTTTAATAATCCTAATAGCAATTTCTGAATTGATATTTGTAGTTAGTACACGGTAGCAACAGTGATTAACTCATCACTCACTCTCTTAGATGATAGATAACTAAGTAGATATATAGGTAGATAGTAGATATAGCTAGATAGGTAATGGTTGACAGTAGTTATTTGCAGCAGTCAGAAAATTTAGGTACAGTCAAAATGAGTTTCAGTCATATGCCTGGAATATGAATAATTCTACAAAAATGATTTCACTTAACCATTATCTAAGGGGGGAAAGTATTAACAAAAAGGAGATAAACTAAGCCTAAGAGGCAACAGGTGGGGCTGTCTCTCCCTCTTGGGAGCATGCACGCATCTTTCCCATCCCCCTCTTCTTCACCCACCAGGCATATTACCTTTACTTTTCTCCCTTTCTCCTAAGCTCCAAGGGCACCTCTTTTGCCTCTGTTACTTGTTTCCTTGAACCCATTTCTTCTATGGCTCACTTCTTCTACCTCTATGACTTCTAAATAAACTTTTGCTTACAGTTTGGGGGAGGGAGAGAGGCAATAGGTGCGAGATAAACTAGAAAAACTGAGCCGAATTCAGGAATGCCAGGCATAGAGCAAAGCAGGAATGGGGAACAAAATGAGGCTTATTTCATTCAGGACAAATTTCTCACCTGAAGATACAAAGAGCATACAGTAAATATCACCATCCTAGATGTTCTGACCAAACAGAGTTCCCAGGAAGCATTTTAGTGCCTCACTCTTAAATATGGATAGACAACCAATAAGCACCAGTAATTTCAGGAAAACCTCCTGTCTCTCATACCAAAATCAGTAAAACAGATAAAAGAATCCTAAGGAAAAGAGGCAATGCAGAGAGCAAGAAAAATATTAGAAAAAAATATAATTAGCATCTTTAGAGATATAAGACAAGAAAGAATGTTATAAAAAGTAATACTAAGAAAAAAATATAGGATTAAAAATATGATAGCCAAAATTTTTCAACTCAGTTATTAAAATATTGAAATGTTTCCAGAGGTGGAACTGAGAGAAAAGAAAAAAAAATAGAGAAGACACAAGGTTGTTAGAAAATCAATTTCAAAGATACAACATTCACCTAATTAACAGACAGAGAACAGAGAACAGAGAAAAAGTAGAGGATAAGTAATAAAGAAATAATGCAAGAAAATTTCCAAGATCTGAAAATATAAATCTCTGTGTTGAAAGGCTCTACTAATAAAAGAACAACGATCAAGAAAAAAGTTGTATCAAGACATAACATCATGAAATTTCAAAACAAAAGAGTTAAAGAGAATATCCTCAGATCTGCAGGGGTGGGAGAGCAAAAACAGGTCATACACAAAAGATAAAAAATAAGAATAAGAACAACAGCTAAAAAACAATAGAATGCTTTAAAAATTCTTATCAAAATTACTTTTCAATATAGAATTCTATCCCAGTAAAACTTTTCATCAAGTGTGAGAGTAAAGACTAGCAGTATCACCAAGGTAGCCAAAGCATGCTTTCTCAGGAAGCTACTACAGAATCCAGCAAAACATGAGTCTTAATGAAGAAAGAGGAAGACACAGATGTAGAAAACATGACATTCAACACAAAGTCCCAGGACAATGTAAGTTCTGTAGGCCTAGAGAACAACCAGTCCAGGCTAGACCAGGAGAACAGTACTTCAGGCAGAATGTCTCTGGAAGATCAAAGAAAAGATAATTAAAATGTACTTTCAGATTACCTGCCAAGTTTTACTGTGAAGAAAATTGAATTGAGAGGCTACTAAAGGGTATGAAAAGATTTGACTACAGATTCAATAAAACTTAGCAAATAAAACATGAAAAGGGTAGCTGTAAGAAAGCAAAAATCCTCATGATAGAACATTATTAGAAAATGGTTAGAACATTACGCAACAGCACACATACATATGCACACAAGCACTCTTCAAGAAGCTATAGTTAAGCCATTTCAAGTCTTTTCAGATTGTTTGACTTTTTGAACTATGTGAATATATTGCTTTAAGCTGAGAGGGAGGAAAAGAACGAAGAGGAGGAGGAAGAGGGGAAGGAAGAGAAATATAATAATGAGGGCCTAAACTAAAGTAACAGCAACTGATGGATACAAGTGGTACTTAACTAGATATACGGAATGAGTTGATAGTTGATAGGAGACTACAAAAGAGAAAGGTAACTTTTTATTATATTACAGTAATGCCATTTCTATTTTTAACTCAAAATTAAGATACTGTTCTACCATGGTCTCAAAAGATACTGAGTGAAACAATGCTTTGAGGATGAACTACAAAGGAAAAACCTTATTGAATTAGGTGCTATTTTTTATAAATTTCAAAACAGATGATGTATTATAGAATTGTACACCTGAAACGTATATAATTTTATCAACCAATGTCACCCCAATAAATGGGAGAAAAAAAAGAAAAGGCAACGCTATAGGAGAAAGAACAGATCAGTGGTTGTCAGGACTGAGGGTTAGTTATAAAGTGAAAAGAGGAAATTTGGCAGGTGATGGAACTGTTTTATACCTGTATGGTGGTGGTGGTTATATGGCTGTATGTATTTGTCAAAACTTGGAGAAATGTATACTAAAAAAGGGTGAACAGCACTGTATGTAAATTATACCTTAATTTTTTAAAAATTATAGTCTCTCTCCCTTGCCCAGAAAAAAAATTTTCCTTCTATAAAACTGTCACAAATCATTTCTTAACCTAACACTATTTAAATGTTTAGTTGTCCACCTAACAAAAAAAGGCCTTCTCATTTTCCCAAATGCTGCAAACATAATGAACTGATCCCTTTCTTTTCTAAACTATATTGTTTTACTAATTATGTAAAGTTCTTCAAGTCAAATGATTAAAAATATTACATGTTCAAGGCCAAAATGAGCTCCTTGAGAGTATATTTCCCTCTACAGTTTAGATAGGCATTAGGTACACAGTATATAATAATCTATGGACTAGGAAGCTAGGCAAAGTCAGGCAAGCCCTAATTTTTTAAAAAATTAGGGAAACTATTTGTATACTGATAATAAAAGTATCATTTATTTCCATTTGGTATATGTTATAGGCTGACTTGTGTTTCTCCAAAATTCATGTATTGAAGTCCCCAATGCCAGTACCTCACAATGTGACTATATCTGGAGACAGGGTCCTTAAAGAGTTAGTTAAGTTAAAATGAGGTTATTAAGGTGAGAGCTAATCCAGTATGACTGGTGTCCTTAAAAGAGATCAGGACACAGATACATGTACGGAGGTAAGACCACCTGAAAACACAGAAAGCAGATGGCCACCTATAAGCCAAGGAGAGAGGCCTGGAACAGATCCTTCCCTTGGAGCCCTCAAAAGAACTACCCCTACCAGCACCTTGATCTTGTAGCCTCCAAAATTGTGAGAAAATAAATTTCTACTGTTTAAGCTATCTAGTTATGGCAGCCCTAGAAAACTAATACAAAAGACAATGGATGGACTTCCTCATTCTTTTTAACAGGGCACTGTCAATATCAATACAGTAATTCCCCCTTATCTATAGGTAATACATTCCAAGATCCCCAGTGTATGCCTGAAACCGAGGACAGTACCAAACCCTATATATACTATGTTTTTTTCCTATATATATGATAAAGTTTAATTTATAAATTAGGCATAGCCAAGAGATTAACAACAATAACTAATAAAACAGAACAATGATAACTACAGTAAAAGTTATGTGAATGTGGTCTTTCTCAAAATATCATATTGCACTATATTCACCCTTCTTCCTTTGATGTGTTACAATGCCTACTGATGAGATGAAGTGAGATGAATGACATAGGCATTGTGACAGCAACAGGCTACTTTAAAAGGGTTACTTGAACACAAGCACTGTGATACCTGAACAGTTGATCTGATAACTGAGACAGCTACTTAAGTGACTAACGGACAGGTAGCATTATGCAGTACAGATATACTGGACAAAGGGATGATTCTCCCAGGGCAGGATGGAGCCGGACAGTAAGATTCCATCAAGCTACTTAAAAAGGCACTTAATTTAAAACTTAAGAATTGTTTATTTCTGGAATTTTCTATTTAATATTTTCAGACTATGGTTGACTACAGGCAACTGAAACCAGAGAAAATGAAATGTCAAATAAGGGGCAACTATTGTACATCAAGGATATATTGTTGGGGAAAAAATTTTAAAGAGACATAATAGCTTTATGATTTTTTTAGAAATAATTAGTTGTCTATGCATAGAAGAAACATATGTGATTATGTATACCAAACAGATAACAGTAGTTATCACTGAGCATAGTGAGAAAACATTCCTTTCTACTTTACTCACTTTTTAATTTCCATTATTTGTTTTTAGGTGAGCATTTGTTACTTTAACAATTCTAAGCGTTTTTATCTTTAAGGAAATGTGCCTACCTCTCATCCTTTCTCCCGAAGCAGTTATCAATACATAAGCCACGTATACTAGCATCAGTCGTGGCAGCAACAATTACTTTCTTGCTGAAGTCCTTACCCATCAAGTTGCAGAACTGACTTTCTGTAAATTGTCACTTAAGTACTGACACATAATATTAGTCTATTATATGAATCATTCTATGTAATACCAAATATTGAAACATGAAACTTGGGACTTAGAAATTCTTGGATCTAATTTATCTCCAAACTCACCATGTGACTACAGACAATGCAGTAAGTTATATCTCAGTTTTCCTTCCTATAAAATAAAAATACCTAATATAAAAGTGAATTTCATTAAATTAAATGTACACATATTCTTTTTTCCTATGAAAAGCTCAATTTTTAAGTTTGAATATGTTTGACATTTACATATAACTCATTTACAAACTGATTCATTCCTGAATGAACCCTAGTTTAATAAGTAAAATGGTGATTCTATTAAGCATTTACTACTTGAATAAG